AGTGTAGAATCTAAAAAACTGGTTTTTGTTTTAGTAGAGTCATTGCGCGGTGCCGAAACACGACAAAATTGAAAATTTTGTCTCCTAAAAAATCAAAAAATTGCTAAAAATTTGCATTAAATTTAACTTTTTTTCAATTTTTCTGGTATCAGCAGATAGATCTTTTTGAGATCTTTCATTTAAAAAAAAGTTCAACTCAATCCGATTTGTCGCTCAAAAGTTATAGGCAGTTGAAGGTTTTGTCTTTGACCCCCCGCCCCCCCTCTCTGGGGGGGCCTAAGTCGAAATGACCGCCATATTTGAACGTCTTGCATGCTGCTGTATCACTCCCGAAAAGATGGATCATATTTGATAGGGGGCCAAATCTAATGGGGGATGGAACAACCTCTTTGTTTATCTTATGCCAATATACTCTCAAATTCCAAGTTTTAGGCAAATCCATTAGGAAAAAACCAAGGTGAAAATTTTCGGCCATTTTAAACTTTAACCGGCGGCCATTTTGGAAATTTTGGTTTTTTTGAAAATCTAACGTCAAATTCGTTTTTCTCGTGTCAAAATACCCCTAAATACCGATTTTCGCGCAAATCCATCAACAAATAACCGGTGTGAATTTTCGGTCATTTTGAACTTTAACCGGCCGCCATTTTGAAACGGTTTGAGATATGGACTTTGGGTTTGCGCGAAAAGTTTTCTTTTTTTATGCTCTTTCGAACGAGCTATCACAAAGGGGGTCTTCTTATTTGAAAATTTAAAGTTGGGGGCCGTTGCCCCCCAAGGGGGACCCCCTGAAAATTTTAGGGGGGCCCAAAAGTAGCTCCCTTTGACCTAGGAATATCCCCCAAGTTTCAAATCTTTACCTCAATTAGGTAAAAAGTTAGAGGGGGTGGATGGGACTTTTGGATCACCCTGTATGTAACAACTACATCAAACTTAAAAGAGATCTCAAAAAAGTCATGACACAACCTATTCACTGACCTGCCTTCGTTCTTTTTGATCTAGACACAAAATTTTTCTAAAACAGTAGATCCCAGCAAAGGATTCCATGGTTTTTTTTCATCCTCACACTGATCCTTTGATCTTAATTGCGATTTTCCAAATAAATATAGAAAAGTTATTCAGTTCAAAGTTTATGACCCCCTTGAAAACCCCTGGAAACTGAAATTATAATCTTACATGTGAATTTGACTGAAAAAATTATTACAGATGGTATAAGGTCATAATTTGGAAGAAATTAATTTTTTTAAAGGAAAACTCCAGCTCAGAGGAGTTTAGTTTAAGACTCATATTCGTCGCATACAAAAGTCTCATTTCAAAATACAATCCAATTGATTTTTGCCTCAAAATCTAAGGTCATCTCATTTATAGAAAGGAAAAAAGTAACCCTCTTTTTTAACAATAACATTCCCATTTCAGACATTGCCACTGTTGTCGGATTTTATGCAGTTAGCATGCCTTTCATGAAAACCGATACTTCACTTGCCCATTTATCTAAAGACGAACGATTTCGGGTAAGTTCACCTTCCATCCATCGAATTCCTCAATTTGACAAAAACTGGTGTTTAAGCAACAAAATCATTCATTGCATGAAATAGTATTTAACATTTACAGGAGGTCATGTTTCCCCCTTGGGGATTCAGTTTCGAGGTATATGAGGCACCCAGGATCAAATCCTGCAATCGCCATTGGGCTGCATAAAAATGTGGGAATCCTTTTAAAGTATTACAGAGTCTGGTGGTTTTTATTTCCGCATTTTCTCAAGAATTTTCTGCTCGTTGGTTGGAAAATTAGGAGAGAATTTTACGCATGCAGTCTCATTGATTTCTCCTTTTAATAAATTAAGACATCTTCCAAGTTTTTCAACAGTGGCATGGAGGTAGCAAATTTTGATCATCAGTCCTCCTTATTTAAGAAATTGAGCCCCCCCCCCCTCCCCGGCACATGGCAGCCCAATAGGCTTGACTGAAAAAGAAGGTATTCTGAAGAAGGACTCAAAACTCTGAATACAAATTCCTGAACTCGGGGGCTCTCTCAGTTTCATAAAGTTAAAGATCTTACGCAGACTGTTAGAAAGTACTTTTCTCTGCTGAAAGGGGGTGAGGAACCTGTGAAATTTATCCTCTGCTGAGGAAAAGAAGTATGTTCAAGTAGACAATTATAGATTTATTAAGAATAGCTGAGAATTATGCCATCAACATGGCGTACAAATGGGCAAATGCACTAACCTCCTTACAATCAACCTCGGTAATATATTCTAAAATGGCGACTAAAAGAAGAAATTCAACTGTGATTTTCATTTAAATTTGATTAATGGCATGCTCAACTCTACTTACAAACATACATCTTAGCACGTACTTATGACTCAGGGGAAAATCAGAGTGAGAGTCAACCTCACTAAATTTGCGTCAAAGTATGTCCATCTGTCTGCTGATAACTTTTCATTTTCCAACCAATGTCCTAGAAAACCCTTATTGCGTTCGAAGTTATCTAGAAAATCTTCATCAAATTTAAAATGTAGCAGATGCAAGGTAAGGTTGTTTTCTCAGGGTTGTCAGCATGTTTAGTGCAATTTTATACTACTAAAGGCGAGCGAGGCACTACCGCAAGAGTGTCTCAAGTTTGAATGGATATGATGAGAACTTACAAGGAGTACAAAATGTGTGTAAAATGTCAAATTAATCGGCATTACTTTGATAGTTAAATTATTTACACGGTCCTAACCGAATTTTAACTACTAACGATAATTTATCCTCTGCAAGCTAATTTTAAATGTCCTCAACGTGACCAGTATGTTCCTAGTGAACTTTTTATGAGGAAGCACTTTTTGTAGTGCTGAAATTTTTACCCTTTTTAGTGGTCCATTTTATAAATCTGAAATCTTTATATTTTATGTTCTCTAATGTGTCTTGTTCCTTCCTTTTTACGTAGAATTACTATACTCTTGGAAGAATGTTAGTAAAACTGGCTGAAGCCATGGGAAGATTGGTTTTGGCTGGAAGAGATATGTCCAGATTAGCTGGCTTTACAGCTCGAGTCACAGAAATTAGGAGGGTTTTAGCTGATCTCAATAAAGGTCACTATGTCAGAACTATGATCGCTGACAAATCTGGCAGCTCATCCACAAATGGACTATTAGGTAGGTAGGAAAATTTTCTCTTTCAAGAGTCAATTGCCTCGTGATTTGATGTACTTTTTAGTCACTTTTATTCACTTTACTTTACTCAGTATTTTGAACATATTTTATTGGTTTTTTAGCCTTTCTCGTAAAACAGAATGCAGAGCTCTAGATCCGTGAGAAAACTTTGTGTTTTCTTGTCTTACATGCTCTCTAATTTTTTTATAATGGTAACTCTTCAAATCTCCAATTTAGATCCACAAATTCAGGTCTAGAACATTGAGTGAATATTCATAAAAACTTCATTCATGTAACCTCTAAACAAACCTGTTTACCTTTACTTTACTCCTACAATTTTTGCCTGCAATTGTCAAAGTTTCTCTCAGCATCATATGTCTTCCATACGTTAGACCTACAGTTTTTATTCTCTTCTTACAGTTTTGCATTGAGTGGACGCAGAGATGTAGTCAGCTAAGTTGGCTCTTGTTTACATTCCATTTACAAGCGACTGCGATGCAATCTTCCAATAGCGATCAAAGATTGACCGCAGTCTGATGGCAAGCATAGTCAATCTTCAATCACCGTTCGACGACTGCATCGTAGTTGCTTACAAACGGAATACCAACCTGGCTGACCCCACCTCTCACAGGATGAAGCTCAAATATGGATACTTGTTAAAGTATCAAGAATGTTTGAAGATATTGATGTGCGGTTTTGAATAACACTTCCTTAAAGAAAAATGGAAATCTCTCTTGAAAGGGGCCGTAACCTACCCACCCCCCAGGGGAACAGGGCGGACGAATTCATCTTGACAATTTCAAATGAGAACCCCCATTGTATGAGACCTCATTTGGAACAGCATGAAACAAAGAAAATATTTGGCAAACGCAGGTGCCCTTAAGAAATCAAAATATGTCACAGGATGTAGCCATTTCATAATGGTGGTTCCTTAAAATTAAAGATGGCGGCCGGTTGAAGCTCAAAATGGCAGAAAATTCGTATCTCCGTCGTTTACCAATGAACTAGGACAGAAAAATGTTTTTGGGAGTTCTATGACACGTTAAAAATTATTCTGGCATCAGAATTGACAAAAATATACATTCTTCCAAGATAGGGGCTGTGTAAATAGCGGAAATCTCGGTAATTTGGTGAGTATATTGAAATTTTCGGCAGATAGAAGGCAAACCAGATTTCATTGTAACGAACCGGTAAACAACATAGATACTTGCCCTTTGCCTTTTTCCAAGCTGTCATCGTGATAACGATTCAATATTTTTAAGTTCCATCTGCTTGTGCTAACTCCCTTCTCCCAACCCGGTTTTACCCTTCAATCAACCCGAGATATACAATTTTTATCACTTTGAAACTGTGGCAGACCTGTGGTTTTCGCCAAAAATGTTCTTTTTCATCCTATTTTCCAAGAGGTATCACAGGAAGAAGGTCCCTTTTTGTAATTCTCAAGTTGCTTCTCATCTTTTACCTCCTTGAAGATGGTGGGTGTCAGGCCTCCTCAACAAAGATTTTCACTTCTATGTGAGGAAGTTTCATCTAATCTAAACGTCAATAACTGTGACCTGTCTCGAGATTTCAACAAGTACCCAAACCTCATTGCCGTTCTGAAAGTGGTCATCCATGGGTAATAGGGCCTTGGTGCCCTTGGTATCAGAAACCTCAAAATTGAAATATTGCTTAAGGGAGTGTCAGAAAAACATTTTGACATTAGGTGCCCTACAGCTGGATCCTAAAATCTAATTGTAGCAAAAGCAATTTAAAAATCTCGGTTACATGAATTTAGTTTTTGAGGAACAGCTATTGAAGCTTCTATTTGTTGTATTCAAGGCTGAGTACGTAGCATGGTGTCAACAAACAGGTTTTCTTAGTTTTCGTTAACACCATATTCATCCAAAAATAAAAAATTCTGCCTCTTATGAAAGATGATCACGGTGTAAATGATCATGGTGTCAACGAAACTTAAAACTTCCCCCAATAACATCTTTCAAATTGTAAGTCTTGTTTTTCTTGTGTCATTTACTCTTACCTAACTTAACCTAATCTTACTCAACTTTACCTAACCTAACCCAACATTACATCATCTGACCTGACCTAACTTCACTGAACCAATCCTTCTCCGATCTGCACGCTGCCGAACTCTAACTTGCCCAGCCTAACCTAACCTGACATAATTTCATTATTTGAGACCCGAACCTCTCCCGGAAACTTATTTTTTTGGTTTTACTTGCGAGGAATATATTTTTTATTTGTTGACACCATGCTCAGGGCCCATTTTGACTTTTTACGGCCTGAGCATGACTTCAACAATCGTTGACTCCGCGATCAGTTGATGGGATTGTTGACACCATGATCGTTGATACCATGAAACATTACCTCAAGGATCATCATGAAGGCATATCTAGACGTACTCAAATCAGGAGGAACTATATCCATTCTGACATCAGTTGTCAGACCCACAAGACTACATGCATGACAGGGCTCATGTTTCAATGGATATGGTTCCTTATGATGTAAATACGCCCTCTTATTTTGTATGCAGGGTGTTCCAAAATTTCTGCTCCTCCCCTTTAACTTTTGAACCGTTCGAGATCAAATAACTAAACTTTGAGAATGTTTTTATCTCAAAAGGGACTATCTTCTGGGGGAAAGGGAGTCAAAAGTTAGGCAAAACATATTGGAGGAAAGTCAGGAAAAGTTTGGTTCATTTTGCGGAAAAATTGTGTGACTTGAACTGACTTATTTGTGGTCTTAAACCCCACTTACAATTAGTTTGAAGTGATTCCTGTGATTTTTACTTAAAAATGCTTACAATTTGGTAAATTCTTCCGTTTAATTTTTTTTCTACGATAATTTGAACCGGAGTTATGATTTTCACATCATAAGTCAAAATTGACCTGTGACTTATCATAACTCGCTTAAAAATTAAGATTTTGATCTGCAGTTTGCGCCAAAATTCTTAGTCTTCAATGTTCTTTCCAATGAGGTATCAGCTAGACACTGGAAAATTTCGCTTTTATTTTTCCCCGATTTCGCGGTTATTTTTCCCGAGTATCGCTGTTATTTTTGCTGATTTCATAGTTCTTTTTGTAGTGTTTTTTGCGTTTGACAACTTAAAATAAAGCTTTTACTTTTATTTAACAAACCATCGGTCTGTCTCTCTCTCTCTCCCTCTCTCTCTCCCTCTCTAATCTTATTTTACAGAAGAAGCACTTTATTCCTGATTAAAAAATATCAGTTGGCAACTTTTTAAAAGCCCTTTTTATCAATATATACTCGTTTTTTAAAATTTTTTTAGTGACATCAATTAAATTTTAGTGAGATGCTCATGTTAAAATTATTTGAGGTTATGTTTATGCCATTTCTTTCATCAGTATTTTAATGCCATTGGCGAACGTTGATAGCTAGTAGCCAATGACGACCAATGCTCAGAAACAACTCCGTAATTTCTTATTTTGAAAAAAGCGCGGCAAATTTCGTCTTAGACGCACACATACCTAAATTTAACGAAAATGTACGGATTCCGCGCGCTTTCGCGATAAATCCGGAAAATGGCCGATTTCGCGTTACTTCGCTTTATATTTTCGTGATCAGGGGGTTATGATCGGTGCTTCTGTACGGTTTTCAGATTCCTAAGCACATTTTAAAAATTTCGCGGCGAATCGCGGCGGAGAAATTTTCCAATGTCTAGATATCACAAGAGTGGGTTACTATTTGAAAAAATAAGGTAAGGGCCCCCCC